TCGACGGCTTTTCCGTAATGAAGCCACGGACAATAATCGCGACTTGCGATCCGTCATGGTCGGCAATGAAAAACGCATGAATGCAAATCCGGAAAAAGTTTCTTCTCTACCGTTTAAATCTGATCCGTCGCGTGATTCGATTTCGCATGATAAATCGAAGATAAGGAACGCGAGCGGAAATAGTGCAGTGGTACGAATAGTGCCGATAAATTTTTTCTCTACAATATTCCGGCGTTCTTCCCGTCGGTTCCGATATTTTAGATTATTTTAGAAAGTTGCTTCGATCAGAGGCGTTCCCCATCTGTTTCAGCGGAGCCGCCGATTCGACGGAATGTTGATTAAATTTTGGATGATTGAACGTATCAAGGAGCTTAGAGAGTTAAAATTTAGTATTTCTTGACCGTATATTTCTCTTTAAAAAATGGATCTTGTATGAACACATTATATAAAAACATTAAATATGAGTTACATTCACCATAAAGGGAATAACGTAACATGAATAATACATAAACTTTATAGAGTCATGATGCATCAGACACTCTCGCTGCCAGTTCAGCAGAAATTTTAACGTGAAATTTTAATATCTCGCGTGCGGTTTCCAATTTATTAATTCCATCGAAAGTTTAACGAAAATAAAAAGCGGCTGCATATATCGTATGCTGAAAGAAAAATTTAGTTGCAAATGTTGCAATTATAATAAATATAATTCATAATAACAATAATAAAGATTAAACTACACCGCAATGTGAATAATACAAATAAATACAAATAAATATGAATATATAATTTACAGAAATTTTGCGGTGTTAACTAAATATTTTTTTTTCGTAAAATCGTAAATATAATTATTATTACTAATATTATAAGCAGTAATAATTATTGTATCTCAAAATGAAGCTCCTCACCATAATTATTTTACCATGCAATTTTAGTCATAAATACCGAACATTTCTCTCTCGGGATAATACAGATTTCGAGAATAATGAAATATTGATTCCTCATATAAACCAGCGAATGTGGCATTACAATTTTACGCGGCAATGAATGTGCCGAACATAACAGTATAAATTTTATGCAGCGATAATGGACGTGTCGTGCATAAAAATGCAGATATAGTGAAGAATAGGATCAGAGGATACGTTGATTGACGAGATGATTACAGGTGATGTAAAGAATAACTGAGATGTTAACCAATAACATATAAAGTGTACTTTCGCATTAATATTAATTAACCGTTTAACATTGAAGATGAGACTGTTTTTAATTTCAGATTCCTGTAACATTTTTAATTAAAGATTCGAATAATAAACGAATATCTTGGAAAAACATAAAATAAAATTGTATACACAATTGAAAATTTGTGTTGAATTTAATATATTTTACATGTCGCAAACAGCCCAGTTAAATTTTTGTATTAATTTTGACAAGATAAATATGTTAGAAAGTAACATAGATATTGTGCAAAAATTAGCTAAAAAGACACTGACACAATTTGTAAGCAATCATATCTATTCATTAAAATTAACATTTATAATATGTTGAATTAATACATTTTATTTATTTATCTCTTAGAATTTACATTTAAAAAATTATTATTTTGATGTAATTTGTTCATCTATTCATACATTATTATTTTAACATAAAGAAATATTGAAAATCGATTTAACACGAAATATTCAAATAACACACTCACATTATGTTAACAATTAACCCTCGGATATATTAAAACATGAAATTTTAACAAGAACTTGACTGGACTGTTTCCAATACAAATACAAAATGCTTTTACCGGGTAGGTAAACTGCAACGTTTCAAATCTATTTCATCTCACGTGAACGCAACAGGAAGCTAATGTTATTTGTCTGACAAATAACCTGGTTTTCCCGGTATAACACTCGTCGGTACATCGCGTAACAGTACGTATTTGACGTAAATCGCTCTAATATAACATCGCTTAATTTAATTTTTTCTGGAAATCGTGACTTCCGAGAATATTATCGTCGATAATTTCTCTTCCGTGAATTCAAATTAAATTAAACATACTTACTGAATATCGTGAAATAAATCATTAGCCTTATCTGCTTTTTCCTCCATGATCTTGTCCCGATATTGTCTATTTGTATCTGCTTCGAA